TAGCTAGCTGGTTCCCGAGGCGGCTAGCGAGTTCGCTAGCAGCCTCAACGTGCAGCAGTTGAACATATATATATTGTTTGGGCTCAGGGCAGCGTGTAGTGGGGGGCCGCGCTAGCTAGCTAGCTACTACTCCTAATGCTAGCTAGCTATGACTAGCAGTAGCTGCTGCTGCTGCTGCTGCTGCTGCTGCTGTAGCCTGTAGCTGCGGCACAGAGCTATTGCAGCAGCAGGAGTGCGGTGATCTGCTCTCACGGCACCCAGTCCTCAGCTAGCTAGCTAGAAAGCTAGTTAGACATCTAGCTAGCCAGTGATCCAGCTACACAGCTAGCTACTCGGGGGCGATGTACACAGCTAGCTAGCGGGGCCCCATTGCATAGCTAGCTAGTGAGGGGCCCGCCGCCCAGCGAGCAGCAGCACTAGCTGGTGAGACATCTAGGTGTAGCTTGGGGGCCGGGGCTGCTCTGCTGCATGCATGCATGCATGCTGCTGCAGCCTATGTTCTTACCGGTGCCTCTGTATGCTGCTTTCACTGCAACCTAAGCCCAGCGTTGGCTGCGGCTGAAGGGTGCGCCTGCGCGTTGCTGCTGCTGCTGCTGCTGCTGCTGCTGCTTCATAAAAGCGGGCGAAGCGGGTACACGCAATGTTTTGTCTGAAGGCTGCAGCAGCAGCAGCTGTAAGGCCAGCCTGCTGCTGCCGCTGCAGCAGCAGGCTGGGCTTACAGAGGGGGGGCGCTCCGGTACAGGTCTAGCGTTACTGCTGCTGAGCTGCAGCAGCTGCTGTTGCTGTTACTTTTGCTGCTGCAGCAGCTGCTGCTGCAGCTGCTGCAGCTGCTGCCGACAGAGCCACCATGCAGCCGCTGCTTCACCTGGGGCCCCCGCTGCTACGAAGGTCCTGAACCAGCGGTCCTGCTGCTGCTGTGCTGCAGCAGCAGAAGAGGCCCTCGGGTGTATGCTGAGGTGTGTTGCATTTAATTTGCCTCATTAAAACTATTGAAGCAGAATTTTAAGTTTGTCGTCAACAAAGAATATAGGGATCGTAGCAGGGATCGCAACCGATGCACGTGCTCTGTGCTGCTGCTGCTGCTGCTGCTGCTGCTGCTGCTGTTGCTGCTGCTGCTGCTGCAGGGTGGGCAGGCCGGTTATTATGCTTGTCTGCCTGTTTCACGTTCTGACTATAATTTACTTTTATTGTTTTATAAAAATTGTGTTCATACATAAAAAAGAATATCTGTTTCTGCAGCAGCGCTAAGACCTGTGCTGGTGTTTGAGGCTCAGCAGCAGCAGCAGCTGCAGCCCGCACCGCAGCAGCAGCAGCAGCAGCAGCAGCAGCAGCAGCAGCAGCAGGAGCAGGAGCAGCGCGTTCTCTCTCTGGAGAATAGTTAAATTCACTACACATCCGCTTGTTGCAGCAGCAGCAAACCAAATGAAATAAAAAAACAAACAAAAACAACGCGGGCTCTGTAGAAGGTCCCCCGGTGTGCAGTCCT